AGCTCAATTTCGATTATTTCTGTGCAAATATTTGCTGTTATAACAGTTTTGTAGACATGATATTTATTTGAAATACCAAATGTTAGGACTGAGAAAATGGTTTATTACTTCTTAATCTGACGGTTAAATCGATGATTCATTTAGCCTTCTGAACGGTGATTTTTTTTTAAAAGAACCATCTTCAGGGCTGAAAAACCTACTTACGAGTTCACACGGTGCAACAAACCAGACGAACGGCACTTACATCTTTAGCGCCGTGAGAACCTCAAATGCCGTAATGAAACTTCTTGTGTTAGTTATATTTCCACGATAACTTATAATTTTCTTTGTTGAAAATCAATTTTAAGCTGGCTAATTGAGAGATGGTGGGTCATTTTCCTGTCACCGACTTTTTCAGATATCACACGAAGTACCGGTTATTTTAATGACATTTCTCATGCGTAGCTCGAAAACGGTAAACCACTTTTTTTTAAATTTTACTCGGTTGTTTAATCGAGAAAAATTTAATCCACGTGTCTCCTGACAGTTAAACACTTTTCTGTTCAAAGAACACAGCAGACAGTTAATAATCTGGTGAAAAATATTTCGAACTTCCCTATGTTACTACCTTTCAACCGAACGCTGGAAGATGCGACATTGAAGTCTGCAGAATCGACTGGACAAGCCTAAGCCTTTTAATCTCTGCGTATTACAGTCCTGACGCCTTTCAGTATTTCAGTGACAACAGTGAAATGTTATGGCTCTTACCTGCGGATTTACTGAAACTTGAAACCCGTCAAAGAAAGCCATTCCGTTTAGCTGTGTAAATATTTTGCGTATCAAAGTAACGGGATTGCTGTAATATCTCATGAGATAATTTGATGGGATTTCACGGTCTGTGTCGTTATGTTTACGTTAATACCTGGCATTTCACCGTTATCACTCCCTGAAGTGTGCTAGTGCGCAATGTTAACGAATTGCACTTCATTTCTACCATTGATTTAGCCTCGTTGATCGTAAACACGTGTCACATACTTCGTACTTACAGTTGTCCACAAATTGATTTAACATCGAGTTTCACGGTCCCTACGGATACAAAAATTTTATGATTTGATTTGCTGTTTTGAAAAATATGTAGGCCTGATCATCATTCCTTATACTTATCTTTAAATATACTAATTCCTTGATACAGGTTCATACTGAGCAGTTGACAGTGATTAAATTATCAGAGAAATTACCTTCTCTCTTCTTTCAAAAATTCACCAGCAGAATTTATCCTTAGTTTGTTCAGTCCGGTCTTTATCCTTATATTCTGTCACTCTGTGATCTTCTTAATATTATCCTCCCATCCACATTTAGGTCTACCAAATGGTCTTTACCCTTGACGTTTACCGACCAATATTTTAAACGCATTTCTAACCTCCCAGATACATGGAGCAGCCCGTCCCATGTTTAAAAATATAGTGGATGTATATATAGACAGACTTGGAGTGGCGCTTGTGTTTGGCAGCTAATGCGCAAAGAATGCATGGAGGTTTACCTCCACATCTCCTTCGGGGAACAATGCCCTGTCGGTGTGAAGAGGTGTACGTAACTAACTGATGTGCCCCTTTGAGCTGAGCATCCCGGCTATCACGAATAATGAAATCTGAATAACTTGTGGTATAAAAAATATCTGTCACATTTTTTATGTCTTGATTTAATGAAACGTCTGTGTGAAAATTCATGGGAGGTCCAGTCTTATTTCTTCTGTGTTAATTGAAAATTACTGTGAAATTAGTCTCAGGAACAATTTAGTCCAGATACATAACAATCAAAACGTTGATAGAATCATAGCATGCGTTTTTGATCGTGCAAGCACATAAGCGTTTTTTTGTATCTGTATCATGTCTCGAGTATTTGAATTTCGATAGCAAATTGAAATATAAAAATCTTATGTTAGAGCAG